CATAGCTTCTTCATGGCAGCACAGGATTGAAGGGGAAGGAGGGAGGGGTGGCTTGCAGGCATTTATTTACCTTTTAACCCCCAGTTCCCTGGCCGGCTTGGCCCTAGAGATGGGATGGGCTACAGGGACCAAGCAGTCAGATAACCGAAGGAAGGAGAGTTTGCAGAAATAAATGGTGTGTGTGTGTGTGTGTGTGTGAAATAATGTTTAGTTTGTCTACTCTTGCCTCTTTTGCCCCATCCTTCCACTGAAACAACAGCTGTTCAGACAGCTCACAATATTGCTAACACAAATTTAGCAATAAACGCGTAAAAAAAACCATTGCTAGACCTGAAGGATAAAGTCATTAAAATCAATGAACATCAAAATAAGCCCATGTGGACACTCCCCCCGCCCCCCCGTTGCCATGATGCCCATTTGAGACAACAGTCATCAGAATCTGTCCTCAGGAAGCTTCCCAAGGAAGGAGGAAACATTGGGAAGCCCCCCTCCCCCTCTGCTTTGTCAGCGGGGGTAGCGGGGGCAGCTTGCCCCATTGCTGGAGTCCACAGGCACTGCCAGAGGGGTCGAAAGGTGTCCCAGGTGGAAGATGGACCCTCCCCCCCCCCAGCAGTGCTCTGGCTTTCTGCCTTCCCTGCAGACCTCCACACTGCTCTACAGCTGCCTGGAGGCTGATCCTGCTCCCTGGGAAAGGGGAACATCCTTCAACCGGCGTGGCTTGGGGAAGGGTCGCCGGTGCCTGCCTGGGGGATACTCCAGGAGTCCCGCCAGCCGCCTTCCACCTCCCCAGCGCGGGGGCCCACCCAGAGGGGAGGAATTTCCTCTGCCTTCCCCAGACAGCGTGGGAGCCTGACGCTCTTCCGATGTGAAACTCCCCAGCCAGGCTTCCTGCTTCTGGCAGGCCCCGAGAGAGGGGAGAAATTGGGCGGTGGCGGGCGACGGGTAAGGAGTGGCCGGGCTGCCGCGGCCGCTGCGCCAGACCCTTGGGCCGGTGCCCTTTCTCCAGAGGCAGCCAAGCGAGTCTCCCTCCAAAAGAGGCGCCCCCGCACCTTGCCATGGCCACGGGGCTTCTTGTGGCGCTCCAGAAGGACCAGGCGGACCTCCCCGCCCCGGTCGACGCTGCGGAGCATCTCTGCCCGCTAGTGGGACTCCCCGTCCAGGATCCAGGAGAGCAAAGACCCAGCAGGCTGGACCCCTCTGAGCCGCTCCCCAGGTGGGTCAAGGCGGGGCCCCTCAGCGGGAGGTGGCCCGAGAGGAGGGGAGGAGGTCTTAGAAGCCGGGGACGCAGCGCCTTCGGTCTCCTCGCCTGGCCTCTTTCCTTCCCCGGCCCCCATTTCCAAAGGGGCTCGTCTTGGCACCGGGTCCCGCCCGCCCTCGCTCGCTCGCTCTCCTCCAGCCAGCCACAGCAGCGAAGGCCCGCTTCTGAGGATGCCTGTACTGGCTGCCTCGGGGGAACCCTTCGGCCTCTGGCCAGAGGGGGGGCGGCGGCGGCGGCGGCCTCCCAATGAACGGGTTGTCCTGAGGCTGGCGAGCTTCCCATCCCACCCCGGCGGCTCAGCCGAGAGGCTTCCTCGATGTGTATATGCGCGGGGACCGGGTGGGAGTGGGTGGGAAAGCTGATGCCTTTTTATAGACACTCCTCTGGAAACAGAAGCTGGGACCCCCAACTACCCCCCCCTCCACACAGGCCAGTGGAGGGAGCTGTGAAGAATGGCCTCTGCACGAGGGCATCG